ATTTTACAACAAATATGTCATTGTTTTCCTCATAGCTCCCATATTTATTCCCTGCATAATTGTCTCGTCTAGGGGTGGGCATAATGGTTCGGTTTGACCGAATCAAACTGTACCAAACCGAATTAAACCAAACCGAAACCAAACCATTTGTAATTTGGTTTGAGTTTGATAGTATTCCTCCCAACCCGTATTAAACTGAACCAAACCGAACCGAAATCATAAAACCGAACTAATCTAAAAATGAAATAATTTCTTATTTTTTTAAAATAACAAATCAAAACCAACTTATACTAAACTAAACCAAACCAAAATATAAGATTTCGCTCATGAATTTGATTGATGTTAATCTTTTTGAAGCTTTAATTTTTTAATTTTAGTGCTGAGGACTAGAGATTACTACAAGAGTTACATTCACAACTATAACAATTATAGTGGTTTAAGTAGATAGTATTTAACTATAATTTATTATTTACTACTACTATATATTTGGTTCATTACTTACAAACACCAGTTTTGTTTTTGTTTCGGCTTTATATATAATTTGATTCATTCCCGTTGTTGTTGTTGCTTACAAATGTGTCATGCTTATATATTTTTGGTTCATATGTATTTTGTTACTGTTTGCAAATTTATATCTAACATTATATTTGGTTCATTACTATCGTTTCTTGGTTCATTATCTTGAGTGAATTTTTTTTATTTCAATCCAAACCTTAATACTTTGGTAAACCGAACTCCAAACCGAACCGAACCATACCAAACTGAAACCAAACCGAAACTTAATCGGTTTGTATTTGGTACATTTTCTATCAAACCGATTAAATCGAAACCGAACCAAAATCGAAGAAAACCGAACCGAAAACCAAAATGCCCACTCCTAGTCTCGTCTGTTACAAAAAAAGTTTGTGCTTTCTAGTTATTTCGTTTCTAAGTGAACATCAATTATACAACTTCAATATTTTTCATGTAACATTTTCTAGAATGGGTGAACTCTTTGTGTAGACTAGCAAAAATGGAAGGATCTTTGGACTGAATTAAAAATATTTACATGAGATTTAATCATTTAAACATTACTCTTATGGCTAAATATGTAAAATGAAAAAAAAAAGTGTATAGTTAAAGAATTTAAAAATTAAGTTATCATAGGCTTCAGTCCACTATAACCCAAATATACATCCTCCCTGCTAACAAAGTCGGTCACCTGCGAAGGCAAATACAAACAGGGTTGTTAAGAATTGAGCTATTATCGAACTATTTGAGCTTGACTTTAACTTAACAAGTTGTATACTCGAGAAAGGGACAAGTTTTAATTACGAATTCGAGCCGAACTCAAACATATTAATGTTTGGAGCCCGTTTGGTGACATTGTTTTTTAACTTATCAAGCTTATCAGTCAACTTTTTCACCACACACGTAACTTTTGATTTCTCAAATTGAGTTGTGTAATAATAAAAAAAAGTAAGGTTGGGGTTACTTTTCTGATTGTATTGGCTGAAATTACTATAGATGATCATTTTAGCTATTTTTCATATAATTTTTTGTTTATTTTATTAATAAAAAATATTTTAAATATAATTTTTTTCATAAATCAACAGAATCAGCTAATGTAGCCATTTCAGCCAGAACTTCATAAATTTCAGCAAAATCAGCCGATTCAACCAATTTGAGTGCTACCAAACGAGCTCTTGGTTCGATTCAAACTCAATCCTATTGAACACTTAAAATTATAGGGATAAATTATATTTTGTATATTTGTTAAAATCTAAACATCTTTAGTGTGGTTTTATAAATTTAAATATGATTATTAACGAATCAAGCACATGTTGAAAAATTAAAGACAAGTCTATTAACGAGCATAAGCTAACTTTTTATATTTGATCGAGCAAATTTAACGTATCTTAATATCTTATTGAGCACTCTATTAGAACATAGAACATTTATTGAGCCGAACTCTAGCTTCGAGCTCGAGCTTGAACTTGAACACCATGTTACATATCTCAAAGTTAAGGCTCGGCTCGACTCGTAAATAACCTAGCTGGGCATAGCCCAACCACTTGTAGGGTGACCAATATGCTAGCAATTACACAAAGTACTCTTTTTTAGCCAGTGCCCACATAAGCATATCATCTCTTGTTTAACTTGAGTTGAAGTGAAACTCAATAACTATATGAGTGTTGGTAAATGATGTTCCCTCCGTCTCATTAAGATTGTCTCATCTTTTCATTTCGATCCGTCCCACTAAGATGGTCTCGTATCAAATTTGATAAAATTTGCGTAGCTCTAAGAGCATTTCCAATGGGGATGTCTATAGTCTTACACACTCAGATTTCAATTGTTCTCATACATTTTATGTGTAAGATCTACATGTCTCCATATTTATTCTAATGTTCATTTTTTATATCACTTATAACCCATTTTTCATCCACTTTTGTTTATTAATTCCTGTGTAAAGTCTATTTGTGAACATTGTCATAGAGATTGTCTACAATTTACTTCTATCTCTCTCTTCCATTTCAGTTTTTCATACGCACTACTTTCTCTATATTAAATTGAAATAATCATCTTATATCTATCTCTCATATGACACGTAAGATAGACTTTATTCCAATCCACTACCCCATTGGAGATGCGGCTCTAAATCATTCTTGATTTATTCTTACCTTATCAATTCAATATCAACTCCATAAAGTCACTTTACTTAATAATCGTGACATCTTCTTATGTTCCATTGTTAGAGGAACAGAGGTAGTATATATGTACCATTTTTAGCTTTACTTTTGTAATGGCTTTAGCTACTTGATATGGTTGATACAATTATTTCTGGTATTGTTAAAGCATTTGTCCCACACCAGAATGTTATAAAATAAAAAATAGTATACAAGACTTTGGGCTATTCATCCTATCAGGTTGACATTTTCTGATGGAACTCAAGATCTTAACATGGTATCAGAGTCAAGTCTGGTTGTGATTTGACTGCTTGAGCACTCATGATTAACGGTAACTTGTTAAGAGCATGTTTAGCCTATTTATAAACCCCGATATTGGCCATGCCGATTTGGACTGAGGGGGGGCGTGTTAAAGTATTTGTGACACACCAAAAAGTTATAAAACAATAAAATACTATATAAGACTTTGGGAAACTCCTCCTATCAGGTTGATCTCTTAGGATGAAATCTCAGATCTTAATAGGTATACTGTAAATTACTTTCGATTACAAATTACAACGTACTTTTGAAATTCAAGCATCGAAATTAAAATGTTAATTTAAATAACTTTTTTTCATATCAGATTTTTTTATCGTATTTGTATAGTTTAGGATTCTAACATTTAATGAGTATTACTCATTTCATTATATTTCATAATTATCAAATAATATACTAATCTCATCTCATAATTAGGTTTATCTTTTGAGGTCATATATATAATTTGTTGATATTGGTCATTTATTTGAAATTATATAATTTTTTTGAAAGATAAATTATATAATTGTATAACATGAAAATGCTTTTAAGTATTCTTTTAATATATATTTTGGAAACACTTTGTATTATTTTGTACAAGCTCTATGAGCATATGTTTTTTGATACAACAATAAACCGACCAATGTATTTTTCTTTTGGATGATCGTGGTCAAACCATCAAGTAAGTTTGATGTCCTCTTGATCTCAAAAGTCACACTCAAAAATTAATTTTGGGATGGATAGGAGTAAACATACGTATGTAATGATTGTGGTACAGTAGAATAACAAATTAAATTAATGGTTGCATCTTGATGTACACACTGTTTTGTTTTGGTGTACACATTTTTACGGACAAAACATGTGTACACCTTTTTGTGTACAAAAAGTATTTTGTTAAATTAATTACTTCAATTTCATAGACTATTAATTTCTATTCCCTTTGTCCAAAAGGTGGAATCTCCCACCTCAGGAGCCTCCCATACTCCGACCCGACAGGATTTTTTGGAGGATGTTAATCACGGTGACTCAGTCGGCCCAATGATGGTAGGCCTTTTTCCTGTGTGCATCAGAGGCTCAGCTTTATTTCAGGTTCTGTGACCTCCACACGGCCGCTGCGGGTTTCGAACCTTGGTCACTTGTTCCAAATTTCCCACCACTCAACCTTAATTTCTATTCCCTAAATACTCGTGATCAGTTTCTTACCCATCTACTTGATCACTTCTTCATTGCCATGGAAAAACGTCGATCTCCACTTGGTCGAAGATAAAATGAACAGTTGTTGTGACAACATTATAATAAAAAGAAATAAAATTCAATGTTATGAAATACGTAATAATAGCTTTGTACTCGGTCAAACATCCAAACTTAAAAAAAAAGCTTAGCCCACTTTAATGTCACAATCACACACATTTGTGCTGTTAATTTGGTGTAAGAACATGTGAATGTAATTATAAATGCTAAAAAAGAATTTTGGAATCAAAGAGAGAGACGAAATTAGAATGTAAGACTTGCGAGACTGTTATAAAGCAAAATCATGTGACTTGCGGTTAATATAGCCAGAAATGGACAGTTTCAAAGGCAGCCAAGAAAGTATTTGTTTCACACAATTTTAGAAGCAATGGCTAAAGTTTACTTCTTTTTCTTGTATCCCATAAACCCCTTTTAATGTGTATAAAACTATATAGATCAATATATAATGGTCCATAATGAGACCATAATCTCTTCTTTCCCATCTTATTTTAAATATTTTAAACCATATTTGGGCATATGGCTGGCTGGTCATATGTGGGTTGACAATACTTGACATGCACCAACTCAACACCGAAATTTGTAATTTGTATCTCATCTCTGTATTATTGTTTATCATCCAATTTTTCACAAAAAAAACATAATGTTTGATTTGCGCGTTGAATTGACACAAGTTACTATAGAGAATTATTTTACCTATTTTCATGCCCCTTTATCCTATTTTAGTTATACTACCTCTGTCCCATTGAAAAGTTCTCATAACAAAACAGCACAGTTATTTAGACAATAATTTTTTATAGTAAACTAGCCTTTCAATTAAATTAGTAAATCATTAGCCACTTGGCTCATTACAATCAAAGGCAAAGACTCTTGAAAAATCCTATGATCTATACTTAAAACGGTAGCTAAAGCATGAGCAACCCGATTTGAAGACCTTTGTCGTTTTCTTTAAGCAAATTCCTAATGTCATCCACAACCAAACCCAATTATGTCTGTTCTTCTTCTGCTTGAGCCACCTGAACTACTTGAAGTGCAACTGATTCCAATTCCACCTGTCTCCAACCCTTCCTAAGTGCTCCAATAAATGCTTCCTGTATTCCTCTCGCTTTCGTTTCTGTCGGAGACCAATCTGCTTCCACTTCTAATGAGTCAGCCCCTAGTACTTCTCCTTGGGGATTTCTCCCTATCCATCCCCACGCCCGCTTTCCTCCACCGTCATTAACTGCAACATCCACATTAACTTTAATCCAACCCGGCTCTGGCCTCCTCCGTTTTTCCTCTGCCTTTGGTACCGGCTGACTTGGCTCTCCTCCCTTTATTTGGGCCTCCCCCCATCCTTGTAATGTAGCTTCCGCACATCTTCGAACACCTCTCACCCATGCTTAATATTCTTCCAAACTAGATCATTCCACCGTTTCCACAGACTCCACAGTTATATTAAAAAATACTTCAATTGTCATCATCTTTTCCTTCCAAATATTCCTCAATCCAGCTTACCAAACTCGGAGTTCAACTGCTCGTATTAACACCAACTAAATCCCAAACCTTTTGCGCTTCCGGACAGAGGTGAAGCACATGATCTATTGTTTCCTCCCCCGCATTGCACAACTTGCACTCTACCTGGATTGCCACTCCTCTACTCCGCATCTTTGTTGCCGTGGGAAGACATCCTTCCAATACTTTCCTGAAATAGTACTTTATTTTTGGTGGTACATTTAATTTCCACATCTTACTTCATCCGTTCCACATTGTCTGATTTATGGGCCCCGTCAACAATTTATAACAACTTTTGACTGAAAACCGACCATCCTTCTCCCCATTCCACCAAAAACTATCCTCCTTATCAAACACACTAATAGGTATGTTCAATATTCTCCTGCTCTCCTCCGTTGTGAATAAACTCCTGACTCTCCCCTCATTCCAACTCTTCCCATCTTCACCTATCAAAGTTGCAACATTCAAATCTCTAACACGTGTCGGTTTTGCAGAATTAATACGTCACACCCCAGGTCCCGGAAACTAAGCATCCCCCAGACTTGGACCTCCCGGCCATTACCTACCCGCCATTTCATATTTCCTGATATAACATTTTGAGCCTCCAGAATGCTCCTCCATATATATGAAGGATTATTTCCCACCCCAGCTCCTAAAAAAGATGAATTCGGGAAATATTATGCCTTATAAATCTGACTAACCAGACTCTTAGAATCCACGAGTAGTCTCCAAGCTTGCTTTGCTACCAGTCTTCCTTCCTCTTTAGAGTAGCACATCGCGCTCCAAGCTTTCCACCTGAGACCTTTCTGATTCAATTGTGTTCCATTCCACCAAAAACCGTTCATCAACCTCTTGATTTCCTCACATAATTCCTTAGGAAGAAGGAAAACATTCATAACATTAATGGGTATTGATTGGATGACAGTTTTTAAGAGTACTGCCCTTCCTGCTCTGAATAAAAAGTTATTATTCCACCTTTTGATACGACTAACCACCCTCTTCCGTAAATACTCCAGAATCGCCCTCTTACTCTTCCCAATTAGCGCTGGCAGCCCTAAGTACCTCGGTTGACCACCCTCCTAAGCAACGCCTATACAATTGCGCAGCATTAATCGCACAGGCTCCTCCACATTCGGACTAAACGATATGCTTGATTTTGCAAAATTAACCACTTGGCCTGAAACCTACTCATAATGATTTAACATCGCCCGAATACTTTCACAATCCCTTAGCCTTGCCTTGAAAAATAGGAAGCTATCATCCGCAAACAGGAGGTGAGATACTGTAGGAGCACCTCTACAAATCGCTGCCCTGTGGATATGTTCTCTACTTTCTGCCAAACGGAGCAAAACACTCAACCCATCAGCTATTAAAATAAATAGATATGGTGATAATGGGTCTCCTTGTTGTAATCGCCTACCTAGAACAATGGGTCACAATAGTTCTCTATCAAACTGAACAAAGTATGACATTGTTGAAACACACTCCATAACTATGTCCACCCACCGTTTATCAAAGCCTACACGAGTCATTATGAACCGTAGAAAAGACCAACTCACCCGGTCATATGCCTTACTCATGTCTAACTTCAGAGCCACATAGCCCTCTTTCCCCTTACTCTTACGCTTTATAAAGTGTTGTGTTTCAAAAGTCACCATAATATTGTCCACTATGGATCTTTCAGGTATAAGCGCACTCTGATTTTCTCCAACCAAACCATCCAAAAACCCCTTGTAGCTTTATACACCACATTGCATAATGCAATTGGCCTCCAATCCCCCATCCCTTCAGGTTTCTCTTTTTTAGGAATTAGAACTAAACTAATAATATTTAGCTCTTTCAGCAACTTCCCAGATTCAAAAATACCATGACAAAGTTTAACTATATCAGACCCTACAATGTTCCAATAAGCCTGAAAAAAACCGGATTCATATCGTTCGGTCCTGGTGCAGTGGTGCTTTCTCCGGGTGCATATAAAAAATAGCTGCTTTAACCTCCTCCGGATTAACCTGACTCATTAATCTTCTATTCTGTTCTCGGGTAATACCCCCAAATCTTCCTTCAAAATTTGCTGCATGTTGATCCCCTTCCTCAAATAGATTAGAAAAGTAGTCCAGGATCATCGCTGCAAGTGCTCCACGATCTATTGTCCAATTGTCGTCATCATTATTTAATCCCACCATTTTGTTTTTTCTTCTCCTCTGCTTAACAGAATTGTGAAAAAAATTAGAATTAACATCTCCCTCCCGAAGTCAGAACTCTTTCGCCCTTTGTCTCCAGTAAGTGTTTTCTTTCTCCAATAGCACCAGCAAATTACCGCGGACATGCGCAAATTCCAGATAGCTCCGGTCATCAGTTTTGTTACGCAGCCATTCTAATCTCCTCTTGCAGCCTTCAATCTAGGCTCAGAATCCTCAGACTCTGTTGCAGCCCCACCGATGCAATTTCCTCCCGCAAAAAGCAATTCTGGAACACAATTCCAATCCCTCTCTTGTTCGCCAGCTTCTATCCACAATCGTCCTGCATTCTTCTTCCTTGATCCAGTTGTTTTCCAATTTGAAAAATTTTCTGCCAAAGCATGCCTCAGCTTGTACAGCCTTGACACATAGAGCAAGATGGTGACTAGCAGGGGCTTCAACTGATCGCGCCCTTTCTGCCTCGAACATCTCCAGCCAGTCATCCTTAACCAACACTCCGTCGGGCTTTTCCTCGACCCAAGCCTGCGTGCCCCGGCCTCTCTCACAAGTCCATTGGTAGCCTTCAAAAGGGAAATTTCTCAATCCGCAGTCCATCACAGCTTCCCGAAAACCCACAATTCTCCACAAAGCAGGAGGTACTCTCCCCTTCTTTTCACCCGTGTACATGATATCGTTAAAATCGCCTACCACCATCCACGGAAGTGGATTGATTCCTTCCAGACTCCTAAGTAGTGCCCAAGCTTCTCGCCGCCGACTGCTTTCTGGGTATCCATAGAAGTCAGTCATCCTCCACTCCTGGCCAACTGTCTGCAAACAGATTTTAGCGTCAATATAGTGATTACATGAGCTAATTATGTCTATACATACATATTCCTTCCATCCCAAAGCGAGACCACCACCACACCCATCACTATCTCGCACAAAGCTCCTGTGAAAGCCAAGTGGACGAAACAAATCCTCAATTCTTGATCTCCGCAATTTCATTTCCATAAAAAAGATCACGACTGCAGATTGTTGATGAACAATATCCGCCAAGACCTGCAATGTTACTGTATTACCGAGCCCTCTGCAATTCCATCTGAGAATACTCATGTCTGCTCTTCCAAACCCAAAATTAATCCTCGGACGTTGAACGAATCGATCCCCGCTGGAAACAAACTAAACCCTAGATAACTAGGGAGACTACCGCCGAGGTATTGTATCTGTGTTTTTTTGAAGATAATTAAATAAAGTACTTTTAGTATATTTTAAGAAATAACTTTAATAGGTTTATATTATAATGTAGTTAGTATTGATAACTGTGATGTTATAAATGTATTATTTTTAATATTTATTGATTAATTTGTCACTTAAGATTGTTAATTGTTTCCTAAAATGGAAATGAGAACCTTTATATGGGACGTCCAAAAAAGAAAAGTGAAAACCTTCTAATGTGATGGAGGGAGTATCTTTTACTTTTCCAGTCAAATTTGCTAGACTTTGACCAATAATGTCTTATAAAAGAAAGTAGTTGAAATATGAAAGTGATATGAAAATGTTCTTTGTTAATAATACTATCAAAAAGTGATAAAATTTATATTTATCACTAAAATAAAAATAAAAATGTTAAAATGATTAACCAAAGTTTATAAGCATTAACTAGAAAAGTCAATGATGGCTAACTAAAAAGGGACGGAGGTAATATATTCTTCATTTATTTTATTAAAAACATATTTTAAATATAATTTTTCCATAATTCGGTAGATTCAGTCATTTCAACTGTTTCAACCATAACTTCATTACTTTCATTCAGTTCAACTGATTCAGCCAAATCCATTACAAAACGAGCTTTTAATCTTACATAAGTGATTTTCTCACATTAAGGCTACCCGTAATGGAAGGGGTGAAAATCTCAAATTTGAGGTCTTCACCCCGAATGTAGTGCAACCTAAGTTAAAAGATGACATCTCAGAATCGACCGGATAGTTATTTCGGAGGATGCATATTAATTTTGAGCTTTGATCTCACTGTGATGGAAAGAGAGTGAGTGGTATTTCATCTCAAATCATTGCTTGAAGTTGAACTTGAGACCTCTCCTTTGTAGCACCCCCCTCCTACCAGGTGAGTTACGTCCCCGGTGCAACCCAAGTTAAAAAAAGGTATAGTATGACATTATAGTGGGTTGGAGGAACCCTTGGGTGGGGAATTAGGAGGATGGGTTGATGGAAGTGAGAGAGGAGAGGAAAAGGTAGGGGGTTTAGGGTTTAGTAGGGGTCCACACAAAATAAAAAATTTCTTTAAAATGGTACTCCTTATAACTTTTTTACAAAAAAATGAGTAGTATAAAGTATCAAAATTTATATTTTTTTGATTTTTATATGACATCAGTATTGCGTATATAGAAGTTTAAAAAATATTTTAAGGAGATTTTAATGCCCAACATTTTTCTTAGCTAGGTAGATTCAAGTGCTAAAATTAAGATCTCATTATAGAAATAATTTATCTGCATCTTGTGGTTATTTTTCTAAAAAATAGGTATGAAGGAATAGTAAAAATATTAAACACCAATTAATTTATTTTACATCGGAATGTTGACTTTTAAATCATGGTTTTGGGAAAAAAATATTGGCAAAAAAAGATGTGTAATATTAAAAGGAAAGCTTAATTAGAAAAAAAATACTAGGTGAATATATTGAAGTTTTAATTAAAAAAAATACTAAGTAAACATATTGATGATGCTGGATTGTAAGAAAAATCGAAATGATTGATTGATTGTGTATAAAATACTAGGAAATTTGATTTATTTATTGAGGGGGTTGCAGTTAGCCTAATAGGCTCCGTCCCTCTAATATTTGGAATAATGGTACAATTATTAAGAAAAATGTGTTTGATATTAAATTGACAAAGTAAAAATAAAATAAGAATGATTTAAAACACACGGTCTTTATCAAATTTAAAATGAGATAATATTAGTGGGACGAATTATGAGAAAAAAGATGAGACAATTATTATACTAGGACAAAGGTATTAGCATTCTACAAATGCAGAGTAAGAAAGGTGATGCTATTTGTACATATTTCTTGTAGATACACATTTCTTGTACATACTGTTTAGTTGTATGTGTAAACATCAGCTTAACAAGCACCTTGTATACACATACAACTAAAGTGATATGTACAAGATATGTGGTACAAATAACTTTTTCCAAATAAGAAACCGTCCAGTTCCATCTTCATTTTGAATGAATTATTGTTTAGCCGGGTTACATAGAAGATTAGAAGGGTGCTATAATAACCCGCACGAGTAACTCAGTTGGTTGAATGGTGGGAAATTTAGACTGGACCTCTGATGCACACGGATATAAGGTCTACCATCATTGGACCGACTAAGAAGTTGTTCTCTTCGTCTGATCTGAATGTTTATGATCTGAATTTTTTAAGATCCGATCTGATCTGATCCGAATTTTTCTGATCTGATCTGATGTGATCTGAATCTTTCTGATCTGATCTGATCTGAATCTTTCTGATCTGATCTGATCTGAATCTTTTTGATCTGATCTGAATTTTTTTGATCTGATCTGAATGCTTTTGATCTGATCTGATCTGAATCCTTCTGATCTGATCTTAACTTTCTAAACCGGTATTTAATAATATTAATACTAATAATAATTCTAATAATAATATCAATAATAATAATAAATAATAATATCAATAATAATTATAATAAATTAATAATAATGATAATAATAATAATAATAATAATAGTAAGGAAAAATTGATTGTAATAATCCCAACTATTGGCGGTCCGCTCATAATAATCCCAACTTTAGGAACCTTTCGACAATAATGGTCCGACGTGACCGACCATAAATAAATTCTTATAGTTTCTAAAAAGATATAGCAGGTAATCCCTATAAATATTCCCAAATTTTAATTTTTACGCTTAATTTCTATTAAAAATTCACTGGTTAGAGCACGTAATATGCGGTCATGGACCATTATTAGCGAACGGTCCATATAGTTGGGATTATACAAAAATAATCAATACAACAACAACAACATCCAAGCCTTAGTCCCAAAAGATATTGGGGTCGGCTAACATGAATCGATACATGATATCACAACCAAAAGATAAAAAGATAAGCTATTATGAAAAGATAATATAAAAAAAGATGAATATATATAAAAATGATAAAATAAAAAGGCTGCAAATAATGCTTATATATATAAGGATAAAAAAACTAGGGAAAAAAAAGATGAGGGAAAAAGATTATCAAGATCACTCCTTCACGTGAATACCCGCCCTCCACTTAGTTCTCTCCAAAGTCATGCCTACATCCAACCCCAGAAGAAGCATATCACTTCGAACTCCCCTAACCCACGTCTGTTTGGGTCTTCCTCTCCCTCTCTTCCCTGCCTCTTCTCCACACATCTCAACTCGCCTAACAGGTGCATCACTCGGTCTTCAACGCACATGACCAAACCACCGTAGGCGCGACTCCCGCATCTTGTCTTCAATAGGTGCTACTCCCACCCTTTGTCTGATTGTCTCATTCCTCACGCGGTCCTTCCTAGTATGCCCACACATCCAACGCAGCATGCGCATCTCTGCCACACTCATCTTTTGAATGTGACATTGTTTCACCGCCCAACACTCTACGCCATACAGTAATGCAGGCCTAATTGCTGTCCTATAAAATTTACCCTTCAGTCTAGTCGGCATACCTCGGTCGCATAGAAATCCTGATGCACTCTTCCACTTCATCCACCCTGTTCTGATTCTATGGGATACATCTCCATCTAACTCACCATCCTTTTGAATTATGGAGCCCAAGTAACGGAACATATCGCTGACTGGTATCTCCTTACCATCCAGAGTAATTCCGCTATTACCACTACTTCTACCTCCACCAAACTTGCACTCCATGTACTCTGTCTTGCTCCGACTTAGTTTGAAACCCTTATTCTCCAATGTTTGTCGCCATACTTCCAACTTTGCTTTAAGACCTGATTGCGTCTCATCAATCAATACAATATCGTCGGCAAACATCATGCACCACGGTATATCATCTTGAATTGACTTCGTAAGTTCATCCATGACTATGGCAAATAAGAAAGGACTCAAGGCCGATCCTTGGTGCACTCCGATAGTAATAGGGAACTCTTCAGTCCTCCCTACACTAGTACGAACACTTGTAGTACAATCCTCATACATATCCATGATGATGATGATATACTTGCGTGATATGCCTTTCCTAGTTAAGGCCCACCAAAGAACTTCTCGAGGCACCCTATCATATGCCTTTTCTAAGTCAATGAACACCAAATGCAGATCCTTATGAGCATCTCTATACTTCTCCATAAGTTGTCGAAGAAGGTGAATGGCCTCAGTTGTTGAGCGACCAGGCATAAAACCGAATTGATTCTCTGAAATCTTCACAGTCCTTCGAAGTCTTTGCTCAATCACTCGCTCCCAAAGTTTCATGGTGTGACTCATAAGCTTAATCCCTCGATAGTTGGCAGATTCTTGTACATCACCTTTATTCTTAAATAAGGGGATAAGAGTACTCTTCCTCCAACTCGTTGGCATCTTGTTGTTTCTCCAAATCATGTTGAAGAAACTTGTTAACCACTCGACGCCTCTCTCTCCCAAACTTCTCCAAGCCTCGATCGGTATGCCATCTGGCCCCATTGCTCTTTTCCGTCCCATCTTCCTCAGAGCTTCTTTAACTTCCGTTGTTTGGATCCTTCTCACAAAATCACGGTTTACCATACAATCTGGTATGGACAAATCGTCGATATCTTGTGTTTTGTTCCCGTTGAATAGTGTATCAAAGTATGACCTCCACCTCTCTTTTATCTCTCCGTCGTCCATTAATACCCTCTGATCAACATCCTTCACACATTTAACTTTTGCAATATCTTGAGTTCTGCGATCACGAAGACGAGCAAGTCTATAAATATCTAGTTCTCCTTCCTTAGAGTCCAACTTTTCATACAACTCCTTGTTCACTTTCCCTCGTGCTTCCCTTACGGCTTTCTTTGCTTGTCTTTTAGCCTCCCTGTATGCTTCTATGTTCTCATCACTCCAATTTGTCCCCAACTTTTTGTAGCAATCTCTTTTGTTCCTTATGGCTTGTTTCACCTCATCATTCCACCAAGA